TTAATCTTCTATACCAGCCTATTTTTCTTCTTCAAATGTTCACTTATTTTATTTCATAGAATGGGAGTGCTAGGCTACAGTAACAACAAGGAATGTTGTGTCTGTTGGGCAGACACACAGGTAAAAAGAGGCTCCCAATCTTTTCTAGGTAGTAATCTGTCTGAATTAGGTTTTGTAGTTGGTACTGTTGCAGGAAAACCTAGGCTGATATTAGAGATGCTCAAAACTTCTGTGAGAAATTTTAAATCTCAAAGATTCAGAAACATGTTGGAATATTTTTACTTTCCTCAGGCTTCAAGAGACCTATGCATGTTTGAAGCCAAGCAAAATTCATATTTAGCAATGAGCAGAGCAATACAGTTTTTTCAACCCAGCTATGTTTTGGTATTGGTCATACCCCAAGCTCACAGCAGCAGTGCTGACTGTCATGCTACAGCTATTAAAACAACCCCAAAACTAATGGAGCTCTCTGTGAGCTGACGCATCTACATTTTCCTCAGTGATGTCTAAGACTTGCATCTATATCAGCGTATCTTTTCTTATAACTACTCTCTTCAGTCAATTTTGATTTCAGAAGTATATTCGGCCCTATTTTTATGTGTCTTTATCTCAGCTACTCACCCTTAGCTTCCTTTACAGTCAGTGAAGCCTAACAGGCACTTCCAAGCTGCAGCTCAATCTTGTTTAGATTCTTACAGTAGTCTGAGGTTAATCATGCCCAAGACTTGCTCTTAATATATAAGGAGGCCAACTCAGAGGCAGAAACCCACACCATAAAAATTTGTGTCAGCTGAATCCTGGTCCATTTGATTGCCAAGAAACTCTACATAGTTGGGAAAATTTCAAGATGATGCAACATTTTTTAATACATAATCCATCACATTTGAAAATCTCATCTGCTTTATAAATCCAAGGAAAACAGTGATGGTTGTTTATCTAAACATTGTGCAAAGCAATTGGTTTGCTTGTTTCTAATTATTCAGATCTGAATTATTAGCAAAGCAGATTCCTATAATTGATGCACCAGAAAGCTTTTGCTCTCAGCTTCATACTATAACAACCTTTGCTTTCTAATATCATAATTAAAATAATAGAGGCCTTTGAAAGGAAGAATTCATGCAAAGCATGATTTTTAAAACAAAAGCCAAAGACAGCCTCAGAAAAAAGCAAGGTTAAGATCCAACTGGCCAGTACAGACTGGGATTTAGTTTCAGTTATCAGATGAAAAGGGCAGGACTTGTTTATTTAGTCCACCCTTGGTTAAGCAGCAACATGACAATTGCTGCAAAGGAGGACAATTTATTATTATCTTGTATAGTAATATTTAATAGTAATTTATTATTGCCTCATACAGATTCCGGTTGGAGTAGTTAATCTGAGATGTTTTAGTCTTGGAGGGAAGGATGGGAGGACGGAGAGGTTGTGTCGTGACTGCACAAATGCCTCTTTGGCTGGTTAATGGAGCAGCAGAAGCGCTTGGCTCAGAGGCAGCACAGAGCTTCGCCTTCTCAGCTGGGGGAGCAGCCCACAACCACTGCCACCACGGAGCGCAGCAGCCTGTTAAAGGAATAAAGACAAAACTCTGTTTGATTTCCAGAATGGATGGGCAGGAACTATTCCTGACCCTGTCCAGGCTTTACTGATCTTAATGGGTCTGCCACAAAGAAAAACTCTGCTTGAACAGCAGAGGGGGGCTGCTCCCAAGGGACAAGTTCAAAAATACCAGCTCAGAAATATTAATAAAAATATTTCCCACTGTTTCTTCATCAAAGCATAAAAGAAACAGCGTACTGCAGAGCAGACTGGTAAAATCTGTATGCTTCTACCATAAAATACACATTTCTATAAACTAGTAACTGAGAGTTTCTTGTAGAATGGATGAATGTGTTACAGTAACTAGTTTCTGGCAAAAGTAGATCCCATAAAGAGGGCTTAATGCTTATTTCTAATCTCCTGGAAGGTTGTATAAATGAAAAAAAATTAGGTTAATCACCAAGGAAAATCACTAATGAAGTAATACATCTTTTCCTAAATATTAATTATAATTCATTTTTTCCCATCACAGAATTTACACGGTTCTCATGAGTCAAGGATTAATTCAAAGGTTTACATTTATCCTCTGCTGTAAATGGATTCCTTCTCAGTGGAGAGTGAATGAATTTATTTTGTACCAGCTTTCTGCTTGAAAAGAAAATCCATCATAAAAGAACTGGCAATCTTAGCCAGAGAAATCCAGACCAAGTAAAGCATTTCATTGTTCAGGATGTTAGACCCTAATGAGTTCTATGTCTAAATGCTTATTTTTTTTTCCCATCTGATCAGCAGTAGCATAGCAGGTTATGCAGTTAAATGTATGATGCTTGTTTGGGAGGAAGATTTGTATTGAAGAAAGGCAGCATGTTCCACAGTTTTAGTATAACATCTGTTATCATTCAGTGCTGCTCTTAGCCCAGCATGCCCTTCCTCTAAATATCTTATTAATTAAACTGGCTTAGTAGGAAAATAATTAATACTATAAGTCCTGTACCTACTTAGAAAGGATTTAGAAACTGAAAAAATTGGTTTTGTCTGAGCTTCAGCTCGAGGATTGTGGGTTTTTTCATTCTTGAACACAAGCAGATTACAGTAGGGAGTATCTGAGAAATTTATTCATATACAGTCTTCCAAATATATATATTCTATCTTTGACATTCTGCAACTGCAAAAATAGTCCAATACTTTGAGAAGTCTTAATCACTACTGGAGGGTCTTCCTCAGCAATTGGTTCGGAAGAGACTCTCCTGCACTTCTTCTAAATGTCCTGATAGCCCTTTTTAGTACCTGATTCCCCAAAAGCCTTATTTTCAAGTCTGCAAAATTACTGTGTTTCTTACCAGTACTATGATAATGAGGTGGGACCCCCTAGCCATGAATTTGGTCATAATACTGCTACCTTGCATAATCAGCTCTTGACTGGGAAGGAGGGTGAGACGGGGCACCCGGGTGAATTTGTGCACAAAAAGTGGATCTGTTACTCAGCTATCTGTGATCAAGTACAGAAATCGAATTTGCCTGTGTCTTTGTTCTGTGGGCAGTGCTGCTGGCTATATGCAGAACCTGCTGCTTTGCTGCTGATTCACCTATCTTGGTTTCCCACTGAAGAGCAAGTTCAGTTTGCTGCTTATTCTAATAGAAAATTACACTTTTTGAAACCTATTGGAAAAGGTGCTGGGTGCCACCAAATTGATCTTTAAACTCAGACAGAGTTTTAACAATTTCTTTGGTGGGAGAAGGCTCAGGAATTAGTTTCAGCTTGTTCTGGCTTTTCTTGGAAGGTCTGAGAACAGCTATTCTTAAGGAGGAAGAAGAAAAAGTTTTAAATGCTGTACCAGAGCAAGACCCTTTCAGCACAGGGAAAAGGCAGGTTGGGGAGCAGTCAGCAGTTCGACTCCAGAGTTTTATCATTGAGCCTTTATTTTCAAAAGCATATTGGAAATTTAGAAATCAGCGTTTCATTGCAAGTCAGTTGAGGTGCCTAAAGTGCTTCTTCAAATGGGTGTGAAGCACTTTGGAAAGTGCTGTGCCTGTTACGTTAACAACTTCCAAAATCAAACTGCACCATGTGGCTGGTTCATGGGTATGGGGTCTTGTGCTTCACCAAAGGGACCTGCCCTTAATTCTGATCCACACTGAAGTTCAGAGGGCATGTCTCTCCCTGGGGAGACCAGGCTTTTTAATTAGCTTCTGACCGTACATATTGATCATCTTTGTCCTGAAGAATACACACTCAAAACTGATTTTAAGAACAGGGAAGTCTCTATTTATCCTACAGAGAAGAGTAAAGCAGAGCTGGCCTTGTTCATACTGAGTCCTAAGTATCTGGCAGCAAATAGATTGCAATGAGCACTGTGTTACTGGTATAAGCATAGCTAATTCACCAAATATATGGGTCCCTGTGGGAACAGTCAACAAGCAGCAGTACCAAGAAAGGTTGCAGCCTCCTGTTTTCAGGGGAGAAGAGGGGGTTTCCAAGCCTCTTTTGCTTTAAATCTGCCTTGGGCTGGCTGAGGATGCTAAGTCCCAGTTCATTTGTGTGTAGTGCATCAGTGCTGGGTCTGATAGGGGAGCATATGGCAGAAGCCATTTGCCCTTGACTGTGCCTCTTTTTTGGCAGGCACAGGCTTGTTTCTCACATAGCAGGTTCAGTCACAGCCGCTCCTTCACATCACTTCTTGAGCCCCCAGTTTGCTGGCTTTCAGCTCTTTGCCTCTGAGTGTGTCCTTTGTGGTGTTTTGGTTAATTGGACATTGGTTTAATTACTACTGCACTGAAGAAACATGCATTTTCTATCTGTGATTTTGCTGCCTCAGTGACTACGGTCTCCAAGCAGACAATGCAGAAGTTGAGCTGTTCAGATCTGGTGTAAATTGCAGTGGCTCTCTTGGAGTTTCCCTCCTTTACATCTCTTTAGGGGAAAAAACTCCTCTAAGGAAGAGAAGGCTCTATTAAACAGTTTATTTTTTGCACTGTCCCAAGCACCTTCATCTGCCCTCACTGGAACAGGTGGCAAAGAAGCCTTGCTTTCATTCTCTTCCACAGCCTGGAGACAGTCCTTTGCCATGTTCTCTGGCCACATCTTTCCTTGGTTTGAGCATTTGTGTTGCCTTCTTTCTTACCTTTCCCTCTCCAGCTTCTACAATAATTTCCTTTTTCTCCCTTTGCTGTCTCTAATTCTCCACAGAAATCAGAAATGTTTGGATTATGTGTCAAAATCAAGCAATGGGTATGCAGACATGCCCTCAAATCAGTCAGTCTACCACCATTTCTGTCAATAACAGCCATACTACAGTAGCAGACGGATTCTCTGGACTACCAGTAGCCTTTATTTCAAGATGCTAAACTGCCACTGACTTGAAGAAGAGAAAGAGCATTTTTTTAAATGCCTTTAAAGGCATAGGACCTTTTAAAACAATAATTTCCCATCTTTTCTATTTACATTGACCCTCATCTTTTGCTTACAGCTTTGGAAAGAAAAATGTCAATGAGGCAAAGCAGAGAGGAGCTTATAAAACGAGGAGTGCTGAAAGAAATTTTTGATAAAGGTAAGTGTTCTTTTTTTCACAACAATAAATTGATATCCCATATAGCTTTATGGCCAGACATTACATAATTGTAACCCTAGGAACTGGGAATAGAGAATTCTGAATTGCAAGACTATGCAAAATAATATCTCTAAACACTTCTCTTGACTTTGCCATGGTCTAGCCCTCTTTGTTGGATATATGTGGTAGTTAATTAGCAAATAAAAATGAAAACTAATCAGAAATATAAAGCAATAGAAATAAAAATCACAGCAATAGGCAGTAGTCACTGACTGCAAAGGAGCAAAGCATCTAGACTGTGGAGAAATGTAGTGGGTTTGTGCCTGTGTATGTTGCCATTGTCTGGTTGCGTCACTTTGGGATTAACTGTTGTGGAAAAGGGAAACATTTAAAGGGTTTGGATCCTGATGAGCACAGAACAATGTACTTTCCCTTGAAACATTGCAGAAGAGCTAATAATTCCTTGTTCAGGATAATTAATTTGTTGAGTTTGTAATGTCTTGTTTATGCAAAATGCCATTGTTTTACAAACATCATTGTTTTACACCAGTAATACAATACATAGTTGACATCTGTTACATATATGTCAGTCATTGAGTGCATCTTCCATTTGTTTTGCTGCTTCCCTTGTCAATTACAAAGGCAATTAATTCAACAAATTATATAAAGACATAATAAGGTTACTTCTTAATCACAATAAAGCTTATTCATATGCTTTAACGCCTCATTAATTTGAAGTCTAAAGGTTTTTTACAATAGCTGTACAAAATCTGGTAGAAATTAATAGAAATTAGAAGTTTTCACAGATACTAGAAGTATAGCCTACTTCATAAATTCAGGAGCATTTAAATCTGCTACCTGCTTTTTACTCTAGCTTATTAGGAATTTAAAAATTTCCTAACCAAGGCTGCTAATTTCCTAAACTTAAAAACAAACAGCAGCAAAAATGTGCTTTAAATTTTACAGTTTCTATCAGTTATGTGTTGTAGTGTGCTCTCACTATGACCAGCTAGATGCAACCATCCTAGATGCAACTTGAGAGTAAAAACAAGTCCTGTCAATAGGTTTGCCCTTCTTATTGCTTTGTGTTGTCCACATTTTGTAGTGTGACTCAGATGAGACCCACAGCCAGTGAGGCGTGGTCCAGGCTGCCATGCCGGGTGATCAGGGCTTCCGCCAGCTCAGACAGCAGCCTTCAGTCACGCCTCTCTCCCAGGTGTGACCTCCTTCTTCCCTGACTCATATCCCACATGTAGCCACCTTCTGAACCATCCCTACATAAACCTAAAGGCCTCCCCAGGAAAAATCTTCTGTGACGTCTGACTCTGCCTTCCATGTTGAAACTTGGGGAGATTCCCCTTGTATTGCTACCAAAGCACTACAATTTTTTCTATCAATCAAATAATGATGTCATTTGTAAGCTTCTGTGTCATCTTGTGAAGTAGATTCTAACTCACCTGTAGGTATTTGAAAGAAATAAGTTAATTCCTCCTTATAGTAATTTATCACCTTTACAAAACTGATATGAAAAGAAGGAAGTAGGGCAGAGAAGAAAGTGGTAATACACAAGAACAGCAGCAGTACTCAAACAACTATGATAATACAATGATATGAACAAGGCAAGATGTGTAGAGCAAAAGCATTATTTCCTTCAGTGGTGTAATAATCTGAGAGTAATTCTAATGAAGGTTTTATTTTATTGACAACCTTAAGTGGAAGTTACATTTTCTTTGTAATTCCTGTTAGGTAATCTCTAATCCTTCAAGAAAACAACAGACCTTTAGCATTTCCTAGCAGAACGCTTTAGATTGTGGTAGCACCTTTCATGCTAAGAGGTATCTTGTACAGACAGTAGGTGTAAATCTCTTTATCTCCCTTTCCTAAGAGGTGGGCAAAGCGGGCCTGTAAGTAATTTTGGCTTTTTCTTTCTTTAAAAACCCATACTGATCAAAGGAAACAGTTCAGGCAGAATGACCCAAGAACAATAATTTTTCTTGTACTTAGTGTTGGTTTTGTCATATCTTCTACATTGAAGAAAAGCATAATTAGTTGGTTTGTTTGCCTGCTGTTTAAAGTGATGCTCTGACCTGTTTGCTTCAGGATTTGCTGGCTTTCCAGAGGACTTTGTGTCACCCAGCAGGTGAAAACTATCAGAGTGCAGAAAGTAACAGTAGTCACACATAGGAGAGTCATGAAGTCCAGCTGCTATATTTGGAAAACAAGAAATGCTGTTACCATTTCAGTGACCCCCGCATTTAAATTAGTCACCTGAAGCTACTCCTGACTGAAATGCAGAGAGCTTTTTCCTTGCTAAGGGCCAAACTCCTGACAGAATCAGTTTCTGTTATCTTCCATTTCCAGGGCTCTGTGACTTGAGTATTCTGAAAATGTAGGCAAAGGCTATAATTTTTTAAAATACTCTATACTTATGGAAAAAAGTAAGTTGAAGAAGTATCTGATGAAGCTCCTGCTGTTCTTATGGTTTGTGGGCAGGTTAAAAACACTTCTTCCACCTGCATCACAAAATATTCCTCAATATTTAGAACTCATATTTTTGCCATCGCTCCTACACATAGGTACAGACCTTGATTTCCACATGGACGTGTAACCGTCCCAAAAACATCTGTCATTAGAATTGTCCACTGATTCATGCTGCTGATCAAAGAACTAAATCTCCTGTAGTATTCTGATCCCTCTTCTTTCTGAATGTAGATAAGATTGTGTGTAGTGGGAAATTTCTGAATATGAGTGTGTACCAGTTACTTACTCCAAAGGCAATGGTGCAGTGGTTTTTCAAGGAAACATGGGCAGTCTTCATCTTTTATATTCTCGTATTTTAATATGCTCTATCTAATTAAAATGATGGATTTAGACTTAAATTTCAGATAGCCTAAGTTGTTACAGAATATGGACATGTTGCACTTATGCACTGAAGGAGATTTTGTGACAGTATGTGAGGACAAACTTGAAAAAGTGGCTTTGGTAAAGCAGCAGAAAGGCATGGCAACCACGGGAGAGCCAGTTGTGCTGCAGTGAAATTGAAAAGTTTTGAACTCCTCCAGAAGAAGCCTGTCTCAAACTCCATAGGATCCCACAAAATCAGAGGTTGGCTTAGGGGCTGAAGTTGTGCAGGATCCCAGCTACTGTTCTAAGGTAGCCACCAAGGCTAGGAAACAGTTCCAGGGTCAGGTCTTGACCACATGCAAGAACACTCAATTCTCCATTCCCCACCTTTGGGATCATGGCAGAGAATGACAATGAATTTTACTCTGCTCTTCCTAGTTTTTTTCATCAAGAATTTCTTGCTTGGACAGTCTATTTGAGAGCAGACAAGTACTGAAGGGGATAACCCAGTCCAAAAATTAACCCAGGATTACAACTTGTCTGTTTTGACTTCCATAGCCAGTCTCCTGTAGAAGGAATGTGTGAGCATAGCACTTTTCAGATATGCAAAAAGTTGCATAGTCCAAAGTAGTTCAGAGTAAAAGACACAGTGAGAGGGTAGGCAGAACTACAAGAGGGGGAACACAACAGGTCTGTTTATGTCAGTCAATGTGATGCATTGTGGGCTGCTTCACACCAGGCAATGTTTTAGAAGTACCTGAGAGTGGAAATTGCAGGTGTGTTCAGGACTACAAACCATGCTTAGGAGCCACAGGTTTTGTAGACGTCATCTATGTATCTCTGGGCCTTCATCCTATGCTGTTGTTTTCACATGCTGAAGTGGATCAAAGTGTCTGGGCAGAGACCTCTGCATAAGAGAGTTTCCTCTGAGGTCCTGTTTCTTCAGTGACTTCAGGTGTGCAGAGTCTCCTGAGTAAGAGAAGAGCAACTTTGATGTGCTCTCTTGCTGCAGAAATCAAGCTACTCCCTCAGTTTCACACTCAGCTGATGTTATTAAAGCTCGTGGACTTAGGGGGAGTCATTTTCCACTAAGGAGCACCAGACACTGTAAAAACAGGAAAGGATTTTGCAAGTCTGAGAACAAAAGATTACGTATGTTATCACTGTGCAAAGCTAACTTTAAACTCATAGCCAGTTCCTGAAAACAGATAAGTTCACCCATGTATATGTAATAATTGCATTACTGGGATTCTTTTCATTTGTATATCAGCCAACTGGAATAGCTTTAGTACTTTGAAAATAATAAGTAATTTGCCATTTGTATCTGGTTGTCAAGCATATCGCTGATGCAGGATTAATTCACACTGAGATACTCTTTCCTCTACAAATTGTTTTTTCCACATCTTTGATCTGTTGGCTGTACTTGAGCAACCCTCCATGTAGCTCTTCTTTAAGCAATACCTGATTTAGGGCGTATATTTCAGTCATGATACTGTGCCATGTCTGATGATTTCATTCAAATCTAAGGACAAGCTTTAGACTCTAAATCAAGATTAAAGATATTCAGATGTAAGATTAAAAAAGGTTACACTGTCAGTACAGAAAGATGCCATGCTTTAGTGTTAGACAAAAGGTAAAAGCCAAAATTTTATCTTACATTTTACTTTTTTTGCAATCGTAAGTCTTCATGGGTAATTAAAATGCTGTTTTTTAAATCTTGCTAATATACCTTGAAAAGTACATAGCAGACTAAAGACAGTAGGATTTCAGGATGTTCAGCATATTACAATAGGCATCTCATTTCATGAAGAATGTGTAGTTGTCTCTCCAAAAAGCAAACATTACTGGGTTTGTCATGCATACTTTTCTCATAGTTACAGCCAAATTTAGTCTGAATTAATCCATTGAATTAAGGAATGTATTGCTGGACACAGTCACTGCCTTTCATTCAAGAAGCAGATGCTCTACATAACATTTACACTCTTTCATGAAACTAGGTAACTGAGAGAACATTAATCCTTATCCCAAACATGTGTAAACACGTGTGTTTAAAAATAAAAAAAAGGGAGACAGAGCCAACACAGAATACATAGCATTTCTATCCAGATAGCTAAGTCAAAAAATGTGCAGCTTAAATACTGGCTGTATTGTTTTTTGATTTTTGCTGCCTAGGGAAGTAAACAGCTTTGTATAGAATGGCCTCAGCAGTTAGAAAGGAGGCTGTGCTACAAACACTTGGCCCGAGCCTTTAGCTTTAATTCATGTTGCCACCTTTTAGCCACCTCAGTTGATTTCTCAAAGCCATGGGTCAGGTTTCAGTCTAGTATGATGTGACTGCACTACCATAATAGCTCTCTGGTCTCCAAAAATCCTCCAACAAAACCAAGGAAGTCAAGACCTTGGTATTTATAATAATTCTAAAATAAACAGGAGATCATCTTTACTCGTTCTAGAGAAGCTTTAAATGGCAGAAACATAATTCTGAGTACTTATCAGCTGATGTATTTTCAGACTTGTTAATTGTTGTATACTAGCACCAAAATGAGACCTTTTTATATTTTCAGTATTGTTTTCTAAAGTGGTTTGTTAACCCTATGAGGGGAAAATGTGCACTGATTTGACTGATGTACATCTTCACTCAGTATATTGAGCAGTAATATGACTAATCAGTGGTGCCCAAAAATATAAAAGCATATTCTGAAATCCTGAGTTTCATTTTTAGAAGTAATTTAAAAGGTTAGTAAAATCACGTTCTGCATATTTGCCTGCTGGTTTTTAGTTTTACAGGTCACATTTCAGTTATATTTTCAGGCTTCCATTTGTAACCATAGGGGCTGAACACTTTGCTTTATAAAGCTCTAATTGTGATGTCCATGGAGTCATTGCCTCCAGGTACCAGAGTGCTGTGCCTAACAAGTTCAGAGATAAAAATCATGCAGGTTGACACTATAGAGAATAATCTAAATCCTTTCTTCTGCTCTTTATTATTTCTAATGTGAAGTGGTATTTGATAGGAAAGTAAATGCCAGCTGCTGTCACAGAAATTTTGCTCAGATAGAGGAGATATTATTAGTAACTATAAAAACAGGCTTTCTAAATGGAACCTGATATAGCCCAGTATCAAGACCTTACATGAAGCAAATATAAAAACTATTCTCTTCCTTACATAAAATGTAGTTATTTGTATGTAAAATAGGGACATGTCCCTGTGCTTTAGCTTGTGTCCCTTATAGCATAAAAGTTTGTGTAGGGAAAGATAATAATTCTTGTTAATAATATTAAAGTATTACATACAGTATGTATTAATATTCTTTAGTTCCTGCTGTCTACTATCATTCCTGACTGCCCAGATTCAACCAATTTAGACCACGGTTCATAATGATCATTCCAGGGTAGAGCAAAAGATCAATACAGATATTTGACTTAAATTATATGTTACCCCAGAGGTGCTGCCACCATCACTGATAGGGTCAGCCTTGGCCAGCAGTGGATCCAGCTTGGAAGTGGTTCCATCAGACATGGGGAAAACTTCTGGCAGCTTCTGACAGAAGTCACCCATGTGGACTCCCTGTTATCAAAACCTTTCCACATAAACCCAGTGCATGTATATATAGAAGATCTGAGTCCAGGTTCCTCATTTGAAAACAATTTAATGGAGATGGATTTCATTTTAAATTCTGCAGGTTATTTATGTCTCTTTTTTTGCTATTCTTCTTTCTTCCGACTATGAACAGATGGGGAACTTTCCATACCAAATGAAGAAGGAGCTTTGGAGAATGGGCAGCCTCTGGGCTCTGGGCTGAGCTCCAGCCAGGTGTCCCTACCAGCCCTAGCAGAACTGGAGTCAGTCCCAGCATCTGTGGAATCCTGCTCGTATGAGGTGCTCCCAACCACAGAGATCATGGATGGGACAGGTAACTTCTTGTTTATGTTATGGTGTAGATCCTCTAAGCTGTTTGAAACCAGTTTTTTACTTCTAGTATTTGATGTTTAGCCCTGAGAAATCTTGGGCTAAATGAAGGTCTTCTGGTGTAGAAGGAAGTGACAGTGTAGAGATTGTCACTGAATGCTCCATGAGAAAGTTTGATCAACCTGATGTAGAAGTAACCTCTACTTCTAAGCAAGTAACCTCTCTCAGAGTGAGACAAAACCCCTGCACTTTGTGAACATGTAAAAGTAGGTTTCCAGCTCTCTGTCTACATCTCAGATGTACTAATGAGCTCTAGAGCAGAAAGCTTGCAATGGTTTTGAACCCTGAGGTGCAACACTGTGCCCTCTATGTGCCATGTGGTGCTATGTAGTGTTCACGCCACATATCTGTCAGTAACTGGTACAGTCAGCTGCCCTACCCTGGGTAAGGCTGGCTGCTCTTCTTCCCCAGCCTGTGCAGAGAGACTGCAATGCTCTGCATCTAGGTTAGCTGCTCTTTCTGCATCAGGTTGTGCTGCTGAGAGTTGTGGACAAAGGTCAAGTGAGGAAAAGGGAGCAGTAGAAGTTGTCATCCATGATCTTGCGCAGCTATGCAGCCTTTTCGAAAGAGAGTAGGCCCCGTGAGGTGCTTGTTACTTTTAACAGGGTAAGTTTACAGACCAGCTGCTAACATATCTGGTCCTAGGCAAGCCGTGGTGGCAGACCATCAGAGACATGACATTATAAAACCTGATTTGTGTTCCAGATGTGGAAGTACATCCCAGCCTGACATGGGGGAGCTGGCTTCTGTCAGAAGTAATGGAAAATTTGGCTGTTGTGTGTTACTCTTTCTCTTTTACTTTATTTCTTCTTTCCTCTTTTCTACGTTATACAATGTTTGAGTGAAATCTATGAGTCATTCCTAATCTGCATTGCTGTGCTGCTTTTCTTGTGTGACTTCGGCTGTATCTGCTGCTGCTTTGCTCGTAACGTTGTTGCGTCTATGATGTGGTTGTGTCCTCCAGTGTCTGAAGAGAGCCCCACATCCAATGAATCCGGCGTCCTCCTGTCCCAAGATCCTACAGCTAAGCCAGTCCTGCTACTTCCCCCCAAAAAATCTGCTGCTTTCCCTGGAGACCATGAGGACACCCCAGTGAAACAGTTGTCCCTCCTCAAACAGCCCCCTGCCCTGCCTCCTAAACCTATTGCCAGGATTGCCAGCCACTTAACTGGTAAGTAGGTATTCCTGGACCCTCAGCCCCACCGTTTCCCTTATAGGAAAAGCCTCCTTTGTAGCAAGGTCTCAGTGTTCTTCCTCTTTCTGTAATGCTGTTTGCACTTGTTGTGTGTGCTGGTGATGTATGTGCTGTACCTAGGGCAGGGATCATGAAATCTTCAGACTGCACCTTCATCAAGGTTGCTCCAGGGGCACTTCCCCTCTCAGCTGTAATTACCTAAGACTGCTGTGGCATTTCCTAACCCTCCTCATTCATCAAGATTTACCATCACCACTGAAATTGCAGGATGTGCTTTGATAGGAAAGGAAGTATCAGGAAAATACTAGGATATCTTTAAATGCCCTTAATGAGGAAAGGCATGAGAGTTGAGGGGAAAGGGAGAGTTTTGATTTCTCCTTTTGCCATTTGTTGCTTGTCCCCTCAACTGCCATATGGGCAGGTCCCCCTCCACACACCTTGTATCTTTCCATATGTTTGTCTTTTACTTACCCCCCGATCCTTACACAGGTAGTTCTGTTCCATGACTTCTTGCCATTTTGCTTCAGTACTTACATTCTCTGCTAAACTGTTCCCCCTTTCCACCCCTGCTCTGACTAATCCCCTCCCACTGGTGAGTACAGCTCCAATTCCCAATGACCAGGATTTTGATGTCCTATGCTTTATGCTGCAGTTTAGCTCTCACTGCATGGACGGCAGCAACAATAAACAACACAGGCTCTGTTTTGTGTTCTACATGTTTTCACAAGTATCCAAGCTCTTTGGGATTCAAAGTTCTAGGTGGATGCGGAAGGAGGGTGGGTGTGTCTTCTCCTCCCACTCTCTCATTTTGACTGCTGAAGCAAAGGATGGCTATATTAATGCTGACCAAAATAGATTCCCTAAACGCTTGCCTGCACCTTTTGAGCAGTCTGCTTATAATTGCAGCTGCTGCACAGCAGGCAGCACCTCAAAATCCTGTGCTGAATATGAGATGTGGTTCATCTTTGTAATGGGGCAGCTACCAGTCTTCCGCCTGGGTTGATCTTGTGTTAATCCTGCCCTGATATTTTCAGAATTGATGTGAGAAATGCTCTGCCCACATTTATGTATTGTAGATTTATTTTTTCCAGACGGTTAATATCCATTTTATTCAGATCTATTATCTATATCAGGAAAGAGCTCATTAGGAAAGAACATGTTCTGGTTTTCTCTCATCTCTACGTAGTCTCTTCATGTTTCTGTTTGGATGACCACACTTTTTTGTCCTGTTTTGTACATTTTATGTGAAATCTCTTTACTTTCTTACCTGTTTAAATCTGCACATAATGGTTAATGTTTTGCCCTTTGCTACAAACTGAATGGGCAGTCTTGCAGCCTGCAAGGCCAGGTAGCAGTATTCATGGCTTCACCTAAGGACAAAACCAGCTTCCTATGATCTCCCATAAAACTCTGTCCCAATTATAGGAAATTGTTCAGAAATGAGGCCAACATGGAAGAAATAAAAGTATAGGAATAGCATAGGAGAAAGACTCAGGTCCTTGATTCATAAGCCATTCTTTTGTAAGAGATAACAGAAGAATCAAAGGATGAGGGCTTCTGGAGTAGTTTTGTTTTTTCTGCATGAAGTAGAAACAGGTTCAAGTTATCAGCATAAGTGAGTTGCTTGATGGTGATGATTTTCTAATGAAAGTGGAACAGAACTGTGACTACTCTTACTTTGTGGTGGCCTTCAGTGATGTCTCCTCTAGTCCTATATAAAGTCTTGTATGTGAATCTACATAGACTCTTGTACATACATATACATGCACCTTCAGGGTAAAGGAACATTGACTGAAATTTAGTCATACAGCCATAATTTATTTGACAATATTCCTGCTGGAACTGAAACCCTCTTATACATTCCTTATAAATAAAAGTATTCAGCTTGTTCTTAAGGGTCCATTTACTTTGGTGGTCCAAAGGATATAAGTGTTGCTCAGTGCCTTGCGTTCTCCAGTGGTAATTATATTAGACATGTACAATCTTTGGAAATGAGCAATCAATCCTAATGAAGCATTCTCCTCAGTGAGAAGCAGAATTAATGCTATTCTTTTTATAATTACTCCAGAGACATCCTCACTTGTGAGTGAGAAAACAAGCAAAATCTGAATTCTGGCATTCAAAATGAAAACTTTTCATTTTTTGCTGCATACACATTTTTCTACTGAAGAATTTTTGAGAAGGTTGAAGGGAAAATTAAGACATACCAGGCATGGCTAGTGGACGGTGACAGAGGTTTAATGGTCTGGTAGCTCTGTTCAAGAGACTATGAGAGAAGATGTGATCCTGTGAAGGGTTCAGGTACACATGTGAAAAGGCAGAAGCAACTTAACTTCTGTCTACGTATATATATCTATAAGTAGATAGATAGATAGATAGATAGATAGATAGATAGATAGATGTATATGTGTACATAAGTGTATCTATTTAATAGAAACATGTTTTCTACAAACATATTTTAAAAATCACTACTGACATGGTCAGAGGCAAAAAAAAAGGAAAAATATTTTAAATACAAACTTTGAGGGATAAAAGTCAGACCACCTCTTGCTGTGAAAATATTCCAAAGTTCTTCAAAAAGTTATGCAGACTGACTTGTAGGGCTAGACAAAGAACTTATTACAGGTTTTAGAAATGGAAAGGAAACATTCCTTTCCTCTGAAAGCATTTTGAACCATCTCAAATATCCATCTGCCTGTGCCAAGACAAAGATTGGCCTTTCAATTGATAAGAAATGCACATAAAAGAGCATACCTAAATAAACATGTAAGAGTACATTTAATTTTGTGGAGAATGAAAAGAGAAAAAAAATCCATTTTAAAGGTGGAAGGAAGAGAGAATTGCCTCTAGCAAATTTAAATCACACATCCTTAGCATGCTTCTTCTCAAGGCTGAGGCTCTGTAGGGATGGGACAGTATAGAAACAGGGCCAGGGCCAAGAGCAGACTGCAGGGCAGCCACTGGGAGTGGTACCAAGCCACTACAGAAGATGCTCCATGCTTTTCCTCACCATGTCCTGTGGTCTTGATGGTGCTACCTCCACAGGGAACATCTTTGTCACAGCACAGGGTGTGGAAGTGCTTGTGTAGCCCTAGAAGACAAGCAACTCTCGGAGAAAAACATGAGCCTTAACTGTTTTGTTACTGCTGTTTCACTGCTCTGCATGTCCTGTTGGCCAGTCACCTCCTGGTGAGCATTCTTCTCATTTTCAAACATGATTAGCATTAGACTGATTAGTATTAGACAATGTTCATAAGATAGAATTTCTTTCATTGTTTTATTTCTCTGATATTCATGTGCAGAACCCAGGCATTTAGGATACTTCTAGCCTCCTTCACCGAAAATTTGGGAAGAGTTGAAATAGTCACCTGGAACCAAATTTAATTGGGGTTCTGGTGTTCAAGTCCCCAGCTTATCAGAAAATCTTTAATGGTCAAGTGACAGGAAGACTAGGCATGTCTGATTTGATAGACTCCAGTGTTGTAAAGTTCCCTTTTATCTTGATTGATTAAGCTGTCAATTTTCACCAGCGCAGGTAATGTTTTCTGAAATTAATTAGATATTTTCCAACTGAACCACCAGTAACCCATAAAGCTCCTAAAACACCACAAAATAAAATATGTGCCATTAAGATGGGATCTCAGGAGCACCTGAGTCTGTTTGAGCCAAAATTTAGCCTAATATTAGAAGAGGGTGTAGCTTTGGTTATATCTAGCCACTTACCTATTCTATTTAATAGTTATGTCTGT